CCCCAAAACCCCAAAACCCCAAAACCCCAAAACCCCTCAATTCAATAATATAATTGAAATGGATCGGAGCGAAAGCGGAAGCTTTAGTGTAGAAAGCTCAGTTGACTACAAGAAAGCAGTTAAAGAAGTCACTAAGTATGGGTTCCCATCTGTCTGCGGCATGATTCTGAGGAGGCTCGTTGATGTCATCAATTATCTGATAATTGGACAGCTAGGAAACCCTGATTTTACAGCAGGAGCAGGATTAGGAATACTTACGATGAACATCACTACCTTTTCCATAGGTGTAGGTCTCTCAGGAGGTGTAGAAACCTTATCTTCTCAAGCATTCGGGAGGAAAAAGAACTATCTAGCAGGTTGATACTACAATAGGTAAGCTTTCACCTTCTTAATCCTTAAATAGAGCTCAGGTGATTCTTACCGCTATCTTTATCCCTCAAGCAATAGCGTTATATTATTCAGAAGATATTCTTATCTTTCTCAAGCAACCACCTGCTTCTTCTCATTATGCTGGGATATATTCCTCAATTATGATTCCAGGTCTTTGGATGCTGTGCCAGACCGAACTGCTTCGTAGATTTTTGACCACACAGGGTGTGCTTTACATTGTAGTTAACTCCCAGATCCTCTCATGTATTCTTCACCCTCTCTGGGTATACTTCTTTGTGTATTACTTTGATTACAGCCTAGAAGGAGTGGCTTATGCTACTAATATGACTTATTTGATAAATTTTATTATACCGATTCTGTATATAACCAAGAATAAGGATTTGTTAAAGAAAGATAGCTGGCATTGAATCAATAAAGATTCGTTCTCAGGTTTACTTGAGTATCTAGAAATTGGAGTTCCTTCAATGATCATGACTGCACTAGAAGTCTGGGGCTTCGAAGTCATCTGCTTAATGGCAGGCTTACTTGGATCAGCTCAGTTAGGTGCAAGTGTAGTCCTGTTTAATATAGATGCATTCTTGTTCATGATTCCATTCGGATTTTCATTATCATTCTCAAGCCTGGTCGGCAACTCATTAGGAGCAAGGAAACACGAGAGAGCCAGCATTTACATAAATCTCTCTGTGATATTTGCAATAGGGCTTTCTGCTATTGTTTGCTTTATTTATTGGGAGTTCAAAACCCAGATAGCTTACATGTTCACTAGTGATAAAGAGCTAGCAGATTTGATGATATCTATCTTTCCAATTCTAATGCTCTACGAATGTGGAAACTATATTCAGTGAATCACAACAGGGATTATCAAAGCAATGGGATACCAGAAGTATGCAACTATTGTCTGTCTTCTAAGTTTCTGGATTGTGTCCTTTCCAGTAGGCTACCTGCTGGCATTTGTATGGGGTTATGGACTTCAAGGGATCTTCTTTGGACTTCCATGCGGAATCACAGTTCACGCTGCGATATTCTTACTTATTATATACCTGACCGATCTTGAGGAGTTATCAAAAAATATTGTAAGGAAAATAGAATCACATGCTAGAGGTAACCCTCGTACTTAATCTATAGGTGTCAAAAATTACAACGAATTTAATGAATTTAGTGCAAGTTGGGAAGATTCTGAAAAGGCTCTATCTGAAAAATCTTAGTTGGCTCAACTTGGTCTCTCTTGTGTGGGGTTTTGGGGTTTTGGGGTTTTGGGG